GGCTCATTTGTTTTTTTATCATGGCCGTTTCCAAGCATACTGGCATTGTATAAGTACTTGTTCAAATAAGGCCTTTGAAAATAGTGAAATTAATTACTTTTGGAGTGTCAAAAATTCGTTGGAAGTACTTGATAAATTGTATGCTTATATAGGTGATTTCGAATCTGTTCAAAGTTATGATTTTTCTACCCTATATACCACTTTGCCTCATAATCTTATTAAGGAAAAAATTCACACACCTAATTAAATGGGCATTTCAAGTAAAAAGTCAGAATGCGAATATATATGTTCAAACTCTTTAAGGTCATTTTTTAGTAACAACACACAAAAGAACTATGTCAATTGGACCTGATTTGATACTATAACTGCCCTTGAATTTTTACTAGATAACATTTTTATTCGCTATGGAGACTCCATATATCGTCAATTTATCAGAATTCCAATTCTAACTGTGCACCACTTACTGCAGACCTGTTTCTATATTGTTACGAGTTACAATTTATGACTAAAATCAGCAAAGACCCATCGAAACAACATCTGATACAAAAATAACACTTTTAATTAGATATTTGGATGATATATTTTGGCTCTCAATAATGACGACTTCAGTATGTACACTAAAGAGATTTATCTGGCTGAACTGACTTTAAATAAAGCTAATACTAACAATGAACACTGCCCTTTCCTGGATCTTGATATCTATATGTATCATTGTCATTTTGCTTAGTTTCTTCTGTTACCAATTCTGACATCGGACTCGGGTGCAGGATTTTCTCACTGTGTTGAAGACCCATTGGTGGCCTTTGGTTGTTTTCTGCTCTTTGGTCGGGCTGTTGTCTCTTTGACACATTCCCCATTTCCATTCTCAAATTTACTTAAATACTTTAATCTTATAAAAATGACCAAACTACGGTAGCTAGTGAATTTACAGAACTAAAGACAAACATACTTAAATTAACTGTTTTTGCCCCCTCCCTCTTTGGAAAAAAAAAAAAAGAAGAAAAAGTACAGACTTATTTCTAAACTATGAGACTTAAAGGTGTGTGTGGGTTTTCAATTGCTCGTCACTTTAGAATATAAATAACATGTGTAAACCACAAACAAAAACACACACACTTTTCATACTACTCCAACGCCACTGAGTCAGTCAGGGATTCCCACTAATTACTTAATTATGTCATAGAATGACATAGATACAAAAGTTTGGTTTTGGAAAATTGGCATTACCTGAAATAACCTAGTTACAAATAGGATATCACATATTTTTACAGTGATGTTATTTTATAGAGCCCATTAAATTAGATAAATACAATCCACCATAAAATGCTCCGCTGGGCGCAGCTTGATACAACCGCAGAGGTCGAACCCTGAACAGTTGGGGCAAGTATGGACACAACATTCAAGTTTGATACAGCTCTGAATTTGGATTGTGATTAAATATTAGACACAGCATAGGTTTCTGACACAGAATGAATGTGGTCTAAGAACTTAAATTTTTTTTAATTTACCTATTATGGTCCAATATCCAAAATCTAAATACATGGTTAGATTCAGCATATCAAAGAATCCAAAGAATTCAATTTTTGATGAAATCAAACAAAGTTTAATTTGGACCCTTTTGACCTCAATGTGGACCAATTTGATAACGAGGCCCAAAAATCAAAATACATGGTTAGATTCAGCATATCAAAGAACCCCATATATTCAATTTTTGTTGAAATCTAACAAAAAAAAGTTTAATTTTGGACCCCAACTTGGACCAACTTGAAAAATGGGCCCATAATCAAAAATCTAAACACATGTTTAGATTCAGCATATCAAAGAACCCCAAGAATTCAATTTTTGTTAAAATAAAACTAAGTTTAATTTTGGACCCTTTGGACCTTAATGTAGACCAATTTAAAAAACGGGACCCAAAATTAAAAATCTTAATACACAGTTAGATTTGGCATATCAAAGAACCCCAATAATTCAATTTTTGATGAAATATAAGAAGTTTAATTTTGGACCCTTTTGATTTCAATATGAACCAATTTGATAGCAGGACCCACAAATAAAAAATCTAAATACATGGTTAGAATCAGCATATCAAAGAACCCCATATATTCAATTTTTGTTGAAATCAAACAAAGTTTAATTTTGGACCCCAATTTGGATCAACTTGAAAGCTGGGCCCAAAATCAAAAATCTAAATACATGTTTAGATTCAGCATATCAAAGAACCCCATATATTCAATTTTTGTTAAAATCAAACTAAGTTTAATTTTGGACCCTTTGGACCTTAATGTAGACCAATTTGAAAACTGGACCCAAAATTAAAAATCTAAATACACGGTTAGATTTGGCATATCAAAGAACCCCAATAATTCAATTTTTGATGAAATAAAACAAGTTTAATTTTGGACCCTTTTGACCTCAATATGAACCAATTTGATAGCGTGGCCCACAAATAAAAAATCTAAATACATGGTTAGATTCAGCATATCAAAGAACCCCATATATCAATTTTTGTTGAAATCAAACAAAGTTTAATTTTGGACACCAATTTGGACAACTTGAAAACTGGGACCGAAATCAAAAATCTAAATACATGTGTAGATTCAGCATATCAAAGAACCCCATATATTCAATTTTTTTTTAAATCAAACTAAGTTTAATTTTGGACCCTTTGGACCTTAATGTAGACCAATTTGAAAACTGGACCCAAAATTAAAAATCTAAATACACGGTCAGATTTGGCATAACAAATAAATAAATGTGGTCAAAGATTTTACAAATCTAATGCACCATACTGTGCAATTAAAGATTACTTCTTGAAATTTTTCAATATTTGAAATTTGAAAAAAAAATAATATTTGAGGAATAATTCTTTTTAATTTCTGAAATCTGAAATGAGAAAAAATTGACCCCCCACATTTCCTTTTTACCCCCCCCCCCCCCCCACCCCTTTTTCCCCCAAAAAATTCTTTCCCTCAAGATATGGTCATAATCTCAATTCAAATTTCCAATGGCATTTGCAACCATAATTACCCATTTAAATTTACCATAGTGCTTACTTAATCTATTTTATAATAGAATTTAAAATATGGTGTCAAATCTTTCATATGGATTTTTTTGTAAAAAAAAAAAGATGCAACATTTGCAGATATTTTTACTGGTCTTCCTTTATAAATATGCATTTCTTTAAACATAATTTAAAAGCAGTGTAAGAGAAGTAATCAAAACGTTTTATGTGGATTACCTCCCTTACACTGTTTTAAATTGTCTTAATTGTTCATTAACCATTACTTTATACATAATTTAAAAGCAGTGTAAGGGAGGTAATACAAATGATGTATTTGATTTATCTCCCTTACACTGCTTTAAATTATGTTTTGTACTAAAGTATTTGTCCATAATAAAATACTTGTTTTTTGCCCCCTTTTTGGCCCCTAATTCCTAAAATTTTGAGGCAATTACCCCCAAAATCAATCCTAGCATTCCCTTTGTAATATGGAACCTTGTGGTACAATGTCAGAGAGATCTATACACTAACACACAAGTTATGTCTGGAAGTTACAAAAATGCTTATTTTTGGCCCCTAATTACTTTAAAACTGTTGGTACCATAACCCCCAAAATCAATCCCAACCTTCCTTTTGTGGTATTGAACCTTATGGTAAAATTTCATAGAGATCCATTCACTTAAACTAAAGTTAGAGTGCGAAAACCAATATGTCTTCGGACGACGACGCCAATGTCATACCAATATACGATCGCAAAATTTTTTTGCGGTCGTATAAAAATGAAAAGAACACTTAAGAAATTCAGTGCGTCCACAAACTTAATAAAAGTTATCTATCAAACACTGTAGGAAAATATTTGAATATTGTCTTTATCGGTACTAAGGTACAATCAAAGCGCTTGTGAGCACTGAAAGGTAAAGATTGCATTCATTTTGTAGTGCGAATAAGCACTGAAAAACAATACTACATTGGAGACTCAGAGGTTCAAGTACAACTACAATTATGGACAAAGGAAGATAACTACAATTTTAAATATTACTTTAACAGTCACATCATTGATATTTTTAGGACAAATAGTAGATTCATGCATCATGAACAATTTATGTAATTTTTTTGACAAGTATGCATACAATCATAGTTTATCATTTTGTAACTAGAATATCTGAGTATATGTTTCATTGATAAATTTCTTGTAATGTTTATTGAAAGAATGGTTAAAATTGAGAACTATCAAGCCATCCCCATGAGGGTTTTGAATGCAATCTTTACCCCCCCCCCCCCCCCCCCCACCCTTTTCCCCAAAAAAATTATCAATGTCTGTTTATGTGCCTATCCGGTCTATACATGTAATCTAGTGATTGTCATTGGTAGCTGTCTTCCATATTTTGTTTTTTTCATTATGTTTAGCATAAATCAGGCCATTGTTTTGTCATGTCAAAGTCTCTTAAAGCATACTATTTGGTATGGGTTTTGCTTAAAATTAGAAGGCTGTACAGGTACCTATACTAAGTTGTCTTATTGGCAATATATAAAAAAAAATTGACTCCACAATATTCTTACAGTAAAATTAATTATTGTACCTGTCCTCAGTCAAGAGCCTGTATTCAAGTAGTTGTTGTCTGTGGTAACTTTTGTTAATTTCCTTTTATTACAAATGTAGCTTAATTGAGGCTGTTTGTTTTCTCTTTTGAATGGTTTTGCATTTTGTTATCATTGGGCCTATTGGTAGCTTACTATAAAAGATGGGTTTTGCTTATTGTTAAAGGCTGTTCTGACTGTGACCTGTATTTGTTTCCATTTGTGTCCTTGGTGATTGGTGGATAGTGGTTTCATTGGTAGTAATCACATCTCCTCATTTATAGAAAGTTTACCTAAGAGTAGGTCAGACTCTTATGACTCAGTTCATTACTGATATCCATATAAATGTACCTAATGGCAGTACATGTGTTAATGTAATGGCTACAGTATCCTGGCAACAATAGAGAGGCTATTATACTAAAAATCAAAAATAAATTTATTTATTCAGTTATTTCATTTTTTTTATATACATGATAAAACAAGAGTGCATATGCTGAGATGTCTTGCCTGCTCTTCTAAATTATAATTGAATTTATGTTGAAAGTCTTTAAGATGAAATTTTAATACAAGTATCATACAAATAAACATTATCACTGATCCATGTTAATGAAGTCATGATCCCCGCCAGACAGACATGAAGACCTTACAATCATTCCACACACCAAATATACATGTCTCTATTCATATATTGCTTATAGTATCTGAGAAACAGATCTTAAAACAAAAACTTAACATTGACTAATTGCAATGAACCATGAAAATGAGGGTAAGGTCAGGTGAACCCTGCCAGACAGACAACTTACACCTTGTACACCTTACAACCATTTTATACACTGAATAAACGTGATATATTGCCTATAAAATCTGAGAAAAGAACTACATTTGTAAACCACAAAAACTTAACTCTGACCAATGAAACCCAGAAAATGAGGTCAAGATCAAATGAAACCTGCCGGACTGATGTGCACAAATTACAATCATTCCATACACCAAATATATTGTTTCTAGTATCTGATCACCAAAACTTAACATTGATCAATGATTGATGAAATGAGGTGATGGTCAGGTGACCACATCTGATGGACATGAAGACTTTGTAAGGATCCATTATACCAAATATAGTTATCCTAATAAGCGAGATACTCCCTTGACAAAAAAAAAATTAAGCAGTTGCTGAACCATGAAAATGAACACAAGGAAAATGTACATAATTTATGACAGATAGAAACATCATAAGATAAGGTGAAACACCACTATTAAATTTAGACCCTGTTAGAAAGATCATACCTGTACAAATAGTAGATATCAAAGAAGTACTTGTTTAAAACAAAATTGTTCAAATGCATAAGTGTTTCATTCAAAATGTGTACACTATTTTGGTCATTTTAGTATCAAATGAAAGCTGAATGACAGGCGATCACTGTAGAACACTTTTGAATGATAATTTGAATAATAAAAAAATTGTATGAAATTTAAAAAGGGCATATTTTGCCTGTTTATCAGATCTGAAGTACCTGTTATGGTATTGGTAACCAAGGAACCAGTATGCTCTTATATGAAATTAAAGGTATGTTAAATTTTTTTTCAGCACAAGACAAGTTAAGGTATGCTTTGACATGAAATGGCTACCATTTTATTTCAATTTAAGACAAAAATGCTATGACTACTTGAAACTGAAGATTTAACATACTTGTATGATGTAGAAATCAATGGGGCCAAGAATTAGTGGTGTTTCTCCATAAGGCATCTGTTTACAAGTTGTGAAGCATGCAGGTTTTCTACCTTCTAAAATATAAAGCTTTATACATTTGTAAATATAATAATTGTTTTTGCCATCAATGGATTAGCGTCCCTATGTCTCTCATTCTGCAACTTTGATCATGAGGCAACGCAAAAAGAGCCCTTCTGCACTTAATCCTACATGAACCCTAGGCTAATTAATGTTTATGCCCCATTTATGGGCATTATGTTTTTCGGTCTGTGGGTCCTTTCTTCCATCCCTCCGTCCATCTGTCCCGCTTCAGGTTAAAGTTTTTGGTCAAGGTAGTTTTTGATGAAGTTGAAGTCCAATCAACTTGAAACTTAGTACACATGTTCCCTATGATATGATCTTTCTAAATTCTTATGCCAAATTAGAGTTTTTACCCCAATTTTACAGTCCCCTGAACATAGAAAATGATAGTGCGAGTGGGGCATCCGTGTACTATGGACACATTCTTGTTACAACTTAATCTCTAGCACATATGCAAGATGTATTTACATAATAAACATATTATACAATCAGAAGTTTTCTTTTTTGTGTTTCAGAAACATATGACGACGAAGTATTGAACTGTCATTAAATGAACTATCACAGAGACCACATACAAATGGCCGTTCACCAGTGTGTATACGTTTATGTCGGTCCAAAGCCCCTGACTGTGTGAATGCCTTACCACATTCCATACACAAATGATTTCTTACACCAGTGTGAGTCTTCATATGACTCCTTAATCCGTCTTTACATCTAAATGCTTTATAACACACATCACAAACAAACTGCGGTATTTCATCATGAGTCCTTTTATGGTTTTTTACTTTAGAAACACTTTCGAAACCTTTCCCACAAATATCACATAGATGTAGCTTATTAGTTATGTTTCCATTTCCATGGTAAATTTTCATGTGCCTATCTAGTGATGTTTTGCTAAGCCAAAACTTTTTACAAACTTCACAACTAAATGTTTCTCTTTCTTCCTTGCACATGTGCATTCTTTTCATATGACCTTTCAGTACCAATTTAGATGCCAATTTCTTTTTGCATATCTGACATTCAAATTTATAGGCATCACCACCATCTTCGTGTAGTTTTATATGCTTAGTATAGTATCCTTTAAGAACAACAATTCCACAAGTTTCACATTTTTTGAAAATGTGTTTCGCCCTTTTGTGATTGTACAATTGTGCTTGAGTACAAAAACTTCTAGTACAGAGGTCACATTTATGTACTGGATCCGTGTTAGCATGGTTCCTACAAAAATGCTGTTGCAGTCGTTTCTTTGCCAGAGCATATGCAGAAAAATTAACATAAGAACAAAATCTGCATGCTGACTTTGCCGAATCTGGATTATCTTTATCCCTTATAACTCTGCCAGCTTTTTTCTTCAATGCAAATACAGGTTCTTCGTACTCGAAATCTTCAAGTTTGTCTTCTAGTCCTTCCATATCAACATCTGGATGATTAAAGTCAACTTTACGTGTGTGTTGATTATTTTTTTTTTTTTTTTTCTTTAAACCTGGCTTTGATAAACTGGTTTCCTGTTGGATGTACATGTCCTCTTTTAAAGGACTGTTGTTTTCATTCTCATGGGCTTTATCATCATCTTGTACCAGTTCCCTTTTACTGCTACCTTCTGTATTCTCTGCATTATAATCTAAGGAAAAGTCTGGTTTACTATTTACCACTTGCTCATCATGACCTTTTTCCTCTGAGGGGTCAAAGTCAACATTCTCTGGAAGAAACAAAGTTTGAAAGTAAATATTTGTATTAGCATTTTTTCAAGAAATGGTGTTCTTTTATACTTTTTTGTGTTTCATTTCTTTCTGTCTTCTGTTACATGGTGTCCTTAGACCTGTTAGTATATTGCCCATATGGCTTAAAAGATTTTGAGGTCTAAAAAACTCTCAAGTTATGAGTATTTTAACTTAATTTTTCACACTTTTTTACAGCCTTTCTGAACTAAGCTGTTGACACCATAATGTAATTTTGATGGTATAATGCAAATGTTGAAATTAAAATGACATTACTTTAACATGTAATATACAAAACATTCACAAAGTCAATGAACTATGACAAATGTATGACTAAAATTGCAGGGCCAAATAACCTCTTTGGAAATAAGAAATGCCAATGATAATACAACTGCATATGACATATCCTTTCACTTTTCATTAAAACACAAACTTTCAACATGTAAAATATGCAAAAGTTTCAATGTCAGTGAACCATGTTAAGGGGGCAGAGCCGAACAATCTCTCTGGAAATGAAAAGTGCAACTGATAATACAACTGCATGCCAAATATAATTGAATGACCGTAATATCAAAAACTTTAACATGTAAACTAAGCAAATGTTTGAAAGTCAGTATACATGTACCATTAATAGAGGAGCAGAGACAAATAATCTTTATGGAATTAAGATGTGCTAATACAACTGCATACTAAATTCATATAATTGACTTACCACTAGGGGTTCCCCTTAAACTGACCTAATCACAAATAAGTACATTGTTGACACAGCAGTCTTGTATACTTGCTTTTTATACTTTATAGAACCAGGACAATAAAATGGAAACTTACCCAAAAAAAATTCCAGGCAATTGCTGTAGGAAAACACGCTGAAATGTCTTGCCTGCTTTACTTAACATGATTGAATTCATGTTGCAAGTGTGTAATACAATTATCACATAACATTAACAGTATCAATGATCAATGAACATGAGGTCTTGGTCAAATGACAGACATGAACATCTTAAACAATCATAGACACAAAGATTTGGTTGTACCTGTAGAAAACTTATTTCAAACGTAATAGCACATCCTTAAATAAAATTTTGTGGTGATGTTGAAATTAGATACGATCCGGGTAAACTTATCAATCCTTTAAATAAATTTATTCTTAAAAGTTACCAATTCAACACTGTAATTAAATCTTTGAACATTTTTTTTATTTGTATGAGGTGAATGAATATTCATTGAGTAAATTAAAACCATACTAAACATTACTGTTATACACATATTCACTTTCACAGTACTATAATCTGTCGATTCCTATATTTTTGCATTGCTCAAGGTCATTTTTTTCACTGAATGCTAATGACGTCTTTACACTAAATCCATTGGATGTGTATACGTACTGATTGATATTTTGGTCTTACAAACATGAATTGTTTCATATTTTTCATGTGGGGGCTTTTTATAGCCGCCTATACGGTATGGGTTATTCTCATTGTTGAAGGCTGTATGGTTGCCTACAACTGCTTAAATCCACTTCATTTGAACTTTGGTGGATAGTTGTCTCATTGGCAATCATACCACATCTCCATATTTTTATACATTGTACCATTCACCAAATATAGTACACAGTCTATTGCTTATAGCATCTAATCAACGGCCATAACCATGAAAACTTAACATTGACCAATAAACCATAAAACGAACTCAAGGTCAGATAAACCCTTCCAAGTTCCAGATAAAATGTACACAATGCAATCTTTCCATACATCAAATATAGTTGACCTATTGCTCATAGTATCTGATAAACAAGACATTATCATGAAAACTTAAGATTGACCAATGGACCATGTAAATGAGGTCAAGGTCAGATTATATTAACCCTGACATGTCCACCTTACAATCATTCCATGCATCAAATATAGTTCTACTTACAAAATCATGAAAACTTTACATTAACTAAATGAATACTGAATATGAGGTTAGGGTCAGATGAAACCAGCCAGACAGACATGAACACCTTACAATCACTCCATACACCAAATATATTTGACCTATTGCTTATGGTAACGGGCAAACGGATAAAACCATGAATACTTAACATTGACCTATGCAATAAACCCTGAATATGAGGTCAAGGTAAGATGAACCCTGCCAGACAGACATTTATACACGTTGTACCTTACAATCATTCCATACACCAAATATAGTGTGGCCCTATTGCTTAAAGTATTTGACAAGTAGACCAAATCAGAAAAATTAATTCCATACACCAATTATAGTGTGGCCCTATTGCTTATAGTATTTGACAAGTAGACCAAATCAGAAAAAAATCAGTCCATACACCAAATATAGTGGCCCTATTGCTTATAGTAATTGACAAGTAGACCAAATCATCCATACACCAAATACAGTGGCCCTATTGTTTATAGTATTTGACAAGTAGACCAAATCAGAAAAAATCATTACATACACCAAATATAGTGGCCTTATTGCTTATAGTAGTTGACAAGTAGACCAAATCAGAAAAAATTGACTATAACTCGGCTCGCATTATGGGATTGTCTCAAGCCAGGCAAAAACTTCTGATTAGAAGATATTGAAAAAAATAAATTGCTTTGTCGAGCGCAACTGGATACGACCGCAGAGGTCCAACCCTGAACAGTTGGGGCAAAAATGGACATAATATTCACGCTTAATACAGGTCTGAATTTGGATTGTAATTAAATATTTGACACATAAAAGGTTTCTGACACAGAATAACTGTAGTCAAAGAACTTAGAATTGGTTATATGATTTGAATTTATATTCAATTTTTTGCTTTTGTGCAGTACACTATGCTGTTGCGTATAAACCCCCCCCCCCCCCCCCCCACACACACACACTTTTTATTTTTGCATAAAAACACAATTTCTTTTTACCCCCCCCCCCCCCCCAAATTTTGGAGTTTGCAACCATAATTACCCATTTAAATTTACCATAGTGCTAACTTAATCTATTTTATAATAGAATTTTAAATATGGTGTCATATCTTTCATGTGGATTTTTTTGTAAAAAAAAGAAGATGCAACATTTGCAGATATTTTTACTGGTCTTCCTTTATAAATATGCATTTCTTTAAACATAATTTAAAAGCAGTGTAAGGGAGGTAATCAAAACGTTGTGTTTGAATTACCTCCCTTACACTGCTTTAAATAACGTTTTGTACTAAAGTTATTGTCCATTAACCAGGACACCCTTGTTTTTCCCCTTTTTTTGCCCCTAATTCCTAAACAGTTTGAGCCATAACCCCCCAAAGCAAATCCTAACCATCCCTTTGTGGTATGGAAACTTGTGGTATAATTTCAGAGAGATCCATACACTGTTCCACAAGTTATTGTCTGGAAACTAGAAAAATGCTTATTTGGGCCCCTTTTTTTCCACTAATTCCTAAACTGTTGGGACCATAACCCCCAAAATCAATCCCAGCCTTCCTTTTGTGGTTATAAACCTTGTGTTTAAATTTCATAGATTTCTATTTAATTATACTTAAGTTATTTTCCGGAAACCAACTGTCTATGGACGACGACAACGCGTACGTGGACCGCAAACTTTTTTTGCGGTCGTATAAAAATGCTGAAATGAAGTAAAACTTCTAGGAGTAACTACAGATTTTCAAACTAAATTTCAATGAAAATGTATGGTATCTATAAAATGTTAAAAGGCATCCACAATATACATGTACATACATTGTATGTGAAATACTGGTCTGAATCTTTACAAATACATGTATTCAGTTGTCAATTATAAATATATTTAGTTTGGTAGGTAGGGTACAATGTAACTGGAACCACACATATATTTTTTTTTGGCCCAAGAGGAAAAAAATAATACTGTAACTATAAATTAATATAGAAAACATAAACTGAAACAACTGTTATAATTTAATTGTATTCTCAGTTATCAATTAAACAATATAAACATAACAGAAAGGAAACAGAGCATTGCCGCAACACGACAAATGACATTGAAAAAAATACAGTTTATTTTTTTTACGCCAAATGTGATGCTATCCAAAATTTCAGGGGAGAACACTGACTGGGGTGGCCTGTTGCATGGCAAAATTTCTGTCTCTGTCCAATATACCCTCATTTTCCAGTGGCAGTCCAATTTCCCTTATCTTCATCCTGGACAGCCTCTATTACAGGACCTAAATTAAATTTACCTTGTGTATTTATTGAGAGTTTGTTCTCATCCTGAAAATGCATTAAATATTTGCCACTGGACACTATGCAAACATCAATCAATCAATCACATATATATACAAATAGTGATAAGGTGTATTTGGCTGATTTATGATGGAATTTGTGCACTACCTTCAACAGGACAACAAAAGGAAAGGACTCTTGCTCAAATTGCTAAAATTTAATACTCTACATTGTACATACCACCATATTTTCTCGCGTATCAACGTACTTTTTTAACCCCAAAAATGTAGTTGGTAGAGGGGATGCGCATTATACACAACTATGGACATTTTTTTTTATTATTACAAATAGTGTTTTTCTCTTCATTATTGTATATACATGTATTCAAGACATTTTTTTATTTTATTTATTTGTTTGAAATTTTTTTGAATAACGTTTTTTTCCTTCATTATTGAATATTCAAAGTACTGGTGTGACATCCTGCATGAGTAAGCTTAAAATTGAATTAAGGATTAAGTATGGTTGTGTAGCAATTGAATAATCAATTCATATCAACTTTTGATAGGTGTTCAATATAAGAACCTCAGGCAGTGCTCTAAATCAACATGATCAATAAAAAGAAAATAACGTATTAAAGAGTTATTAAATTTTAATTACTGCTAATCAATTTAGAAAAATGTATAATATTTGAACAGTGCACCAGCTTGGAGAGCTTTATAGACAAATTTAATTTCAAATGGGTTCTTTAATTAATAAGTTTACTTTTATATTGTTAAAGGGAAACTTTGCAAAAAAATGAAAAATTGATATTATGTTCATTATGTAAAAAAAAGCACAAATTCATAAATATTAAAGTTTTATTCTCCTAGATAAGATAGTACCATCTATTTTAATATGAGAATATCAATTCTCTACATCTTGACGGCTTCCCGGGGTAAAAAACCATGTGACATTTAAAAACCACAAAGTACCAAAACAAGCGGGAACTAACATAGTCATAATTCAATGTCAAAATCTCTTGTCAAGTGTTGATTAATACCGACAAGATAATGACAAACATAGTTTCCCAGATCCTAAAAAAAGGAATTATACCATGTATACCAGACATGGTTGTGCTACATGTACCTATCTGCAATTTTTTTTCAACTAACTTGATAGCCTATTATACACAACTGCGTACTATACAGGGCTAAATATGGTACCTTCATTCATACATGTAGCTCCAATATCTGTGTTTAAACTGCTTTATATATTCAACTTTTGTGTTTTATGGTTGCATGAAATAAAACTCTTACTACACATGTTTCTGTTTTATATATAATATTGTATGTGTGCATGTATTGAATGATACATTGTAGATGTGTGTACTGGTCCAGTGCCAGTTACCATGGTTACTGTCAGAAATTTGCAGTTTTTCTTGAACTATTTGGGGAGATATTATTTTAACATAAAAAGGGTTACCAAAAGTAAGGTTTATCACCATCTTGACCATAGACTCTGACTTAATTCCTCTTATAAACAACGAAAAAAACATGTTAACAGTATGCTGATTTTTGCAGGAAATTTTATAGGTACATTTATGTACATGTGACCAGTTACTGTCACTTGAAATTTCAGAATCTTGTCATCACATTTATATTCAATCAGAACATAATGTAATCTTTTGCTTTTGTATTGCAAGAAGAGAAGAAGGTATGTCAGTGAACCTAACACATCCCCATTCGGACCATTATTTTGAAAGGTCTCCTTCCTGGTCTGAATGTGAACTATAATGTCAATTAAAATCAACCACTTGCAAGTGATCTGAAGAGTTCAAGAGACGTATATACATGTACTTTAATTTTGAAAATTATAAATCTTTTACAAATTATATATTCTAAAGCAAGGTTTGATATTGCTTTGTCATGTTTGTCTTAAAACAGGTTTTTCAAAATCAAGGATGACATAAAGCGATGGTGTAATGTCCCCACCTTGTATATCTTCCCACAACGTGTTATTTACAGAATATTCAGTATTTCTCTATCTTACTCGGATCAATCAAAACTGAGTTTTTACAAATTAAATAAAGAAATCAACATGTATAGTCTGTTGTTTTTCGCAACGCTTCTGTTGTTGAATAAAACAACAGGTGATGGTTACTGGTAACTGACGGTAAATGGTCCTCCACCAGTATATACAATGTACAAATGTATGTATTGATGTAATTTGCTTTTGTTTTGTAAAAAAACAGTACATGTAGGTTTCAATCTGTTAATACATGTACTCTTCACAGTCTCTTTGCATTTTGTTTTATTTACTGAAATGAAAGCTTTATTTACATTTTGTATAGTTATAAGCTACAAAACATAAAGCTCTATCGCATCTTCGCTAGCCAAGGGTTACAATCCAGTCCCCTCCTCTCCACCCTTGGCAGATTAAGCCAACATGTTTGATTACAATATTAATGCTGTGCCATTTACCGATAGATAAAAGTCACGCCCATTCCAAATACATGATTCTTGACCAATGTCAGCACTTGAACTCTCATCAGTGTGGAGGTGTAAAAATAATTGTGTCTAGTGTTTACAAATATCGGGAAGCAGAAACCAAAAGTATACGTTGACATTCCAACATTTGCACTAGAAACATACCCAGGAACTCCAACTAGTTGATTAAGAACTTTAAAATTGTCACTAAATATAGTCCTATATTTTGTTGGTAATGACTTGTTGAACAATTAGCATGTGGCAATTGTTGATTTACATTTTCTACATTTACACATGATCGTCTAAAAGGTGCTTTTTGATTTGATGCAGCCAGTTATAACTGTGACCAATGAATATCATTACCTCATGGATCCGAAATTCTATCTTAATCCACCAAGGGTGGAGAGGAGGGGACTGGATCGTAACCCTTGGCTAGCGAAGATGGCTCTATAGAGGTTTTAACCTAATATATACAAACATACTCATTTTGTACTACAACATCAAAACACAATCATGCGAGCAAACTAAAAATAGAGAACGTACTGACTTTAATAAAGTTTTGTGTCGTTTGTCTTACCAAACTTCAGGATTTCCATTCCTGATATATCTGAATCTGTTCTAGATTCATCTTTCAACTTGCAATCTGGATTACAAATGAGACCACCACTTCCAACAACATGTGCCCTCTCTTCACGATGAACGAGTAATGACTTTTGCTCTTCATTCAAATCTAACATCAATGTTGACGTTTCACATAAAGAATCATTTATATTTTTATTTAACTGTTGAATGAAAGTATGTATTATTTCATTGGCTCGAATAATATCTACAAAACTACCAGAAACTTCATAATTATCTCCATGGTCAGTTTTTTTCTGCGAAATTCGTACTTTTGTTTCAGATTTCAATTTCTCCGTCAGTTCGCAATTAGGATTACATAAGAATGTGCTCAAAGCTGCTGATACACTTGGTAAAAGCAAACTATTTGTGTGGTCAAAAACTACACCCATGACTCCCAATAATTTGTTATCACAAACAAAGGGACTTGTATTGAAGGGAAAAGAAACTAACAATATCACAAAGTGATTCTATCGAGCGTTTTGATTGGTCATCTCCTCAGCTTATCCAATGGCAAATGGTTTACTTACTGCAAGATCAATAATAAACAAATGCACATGGTCATACTTGATCATACTTAGGAATGACAGCAATAACAGCTACACTTCATTTAAAGACAGGAGAAAAGAAAGAATTTTCTTACCCCTGCCTCAATAATGAAGAAAATGTTTCTCTCACTGAAATACATATATCATCTGTTATCTTACAACAAAAACTTAACACTGTGTTAACAACTCTTATAGAAGAAGAAAAATCAAAGCTTTCCAAATTAGGTATTAATCTGCTTTCTATATGTTTAGGCTGGGACTAGTATACTAATATACAATATGTTATGTCCCAGGTTTAGGCCAACCTGATCTGTATGAGACAAAATTCAATCAATACATGCATGTCTATTTATTTAGACTTTAATACATTTATACCTAATTTCAAAAATTCTATAATCTTTTTCATACTATGTGTTGAAGTCGCGCACATTTAAAATGTAAATTAGATTTTTTTATCATTTGTCTCCATGGCAACCATGTTAAATTAACAATTCAACTTAATTTCTTTATTTTGATTAATTTGTAGATTCACCTGATGATACTTGATGTAAAAAAATACAAATATAACACATGAATTAATACTTTATCATATATATATATAAAGCATACATGTACATTTAATAAAAATGTTTGTTTCTCAAAATCAGTGTGTTCTATTTCCATGGGATCTGGTAGTTAATAATTTATTTGAGATGAATGTTAATTAAGTAACTCTTTTCTTTACTTAATTTGTTATAAAGTTTAGATATAATTAATGTGAATAAGACATTATCTAATGAATTGTGCTAAAAAAATAGGAAAATAATTTAGCTCACTGTTATAAATTTTATCAGCAACAAAAAAAAAAGAATGAAATGAAAAAAACTTATTTTTCCAGAAAATCTAAAGGAGGCCTCAAATAATTATTTTTTATATGTTGTAGACAAAAGTCTAATGAACAAAAGCAAACACACAGGTTTTTCATAGGACCCTGTTCATGGAAGAAAATACTGTTTTCAAAATTGGTGATATTACTTTAAAAGAATTTAGAATTGCTGACCAAAAGACTGGGATCTCATGTGAAATGGGCGAGAATTGGCAGTATTGATAATGGACAATTACCATGATAAAGATGCTTAACTATATGCAAAGATATATATTTTATATATTTTTTCATATAATTTTACCTATATAATATGTTAAATACAATTTTTGATAGGTGAAAAGTCTGCAGATAAAGATGATGAAGAAAATTATGATGATGGTGATGATGATGATGATGAAGAGAATGGATTATCTCCTCCTGATCAAAAGAGACAAAAAACATGACATGACATAAACTGAATTTTAAATGTAAACCGTAGAAGAAATTTAAGATATTACAATTAAATATGTTGGACAAAAAATGTATAATTTTTAAGTTTTTCATTGTTGTATCTTGACATTCTAGCTAGTAAAATTAACTTTACATTCTGTTTTTGAATTTTCATTTTTGACATACATTGTCACAAACACAGACAGTATCTTATTTTGGTTACATTGACAACAGTCGGTTTTTACTAATCCATCTTGTCATTACCGCTTTAGTGGATAGAATGGATATGTACAGAGGGTATATACATGACAAGAATTTCTTGAAATATTAGAAAAACATATATATATATATATATTAGATATAATAGATTTATATGCTTTATTCTGATAAAACAATGTTGTGAACAAATGTATACAAACAAAACCAAAATCACAATGAATAAATAACACATAGGTACAGGTGATGTTGAGGCCACAATGCAAAGAAAATAATAATGAAAGTAGATAGTTTAAGAAAAAATAGTAAACAATACAAATCATTTACACTAACAAGGTTATACAAATGAATGTCAGATTTACAGTTATTAAAACAGAGAACTCACACTTTTATTCATAATTCTTATAAATTTACTAAGTTTCTTGGTTTTCTGACTTGTTTGATAACATTATAAGCTCCCTTTATATCAAAGCATTACAATTAATCATATATTCTTTGTCAATACAAGCTCTCCTATCAGTAGTGAAAAAATAGCATCCAGGATTCATCCCAATGCTATTTGTTGGTATTGCAAAATTTACAAGTTATTGTTAAAGAAGCAACCTCTATTTCTGTTCTTCATTTTGAAAATTATGATCTGTGTCTTAAATACAACTAAACCCAACTATCTACTTTGTGTCAATCGATCAAGTTTTTTCAATGATTTTTATACGGCCGCCAAAAAATTTTTGTGGTCGTATATTGGTATGACGTTGGCGTCGTCGTCGTTGTCGTCGTCGTCTGGCGTCGTCCAGCGTCGTTCGAAGACACATTGGTTTTCGCACTCTAACTTTAGTTTAAGTGAATGGATCTCTATGAAATTTTACCACAAGGTTCAATACCACAAAAGGAAGGTTGGGATTGATTTTGGGGGTTATGGTACCAACAGTAAAGGAATTAGGGGCCAAAAAGGGGCCAAAAATAAGCATTTTTGTAACTTCCAGACATAGCTTGTGTGTTAGTGTATGGATCTCTCTGACATTGTACCACAAGGTTCCATATCACAAAAGGAATGCTGGGATTGATTTTGGGGGTAATTGCCTCAAAATTTTAGGAATTAGGGGCCAAAAAAGGGGCAAAAAACAAGCATTTTTCTAGTTTCATGACAATAACTTGTGTGTAAGTGTATGGATCTTTCTGAAATTGTACTACAAGGTTCCATATCACAAAGGGAAAGCTGGAATTGAGTTTGGAGGTAATTGCCCAAAAAGTTTAGGAATAAGGGGCCAAAAAGGGGCAAAAAATAAGCATTTTTCTAGTTTCCAGACAATAACTTGTGTTCAAGTGTATGGATCTCTCTGAAATTGTACTGCAAGGTACCATACCACAAAGGGAAGGCTGGGATTGATGATGGGGGTAATTGCCTCAATATTTTATTTTATTTGTTCTTATGTTGTGTTGTTACACTACTGTTTCAGATTGATGGGAGGGTTTAGGTCCCTGCAAACATGTTTAACCCTGCAACATTTTGTGGGTGCCTGTCCCAAGTCAGAAGCACTGGCATTTTGGAAATGGATCCCTCTTTTTCTATATATTTTTTTTAGTAAAAAGTCCTTATATTTTTACTTTTTTAATGTGTTCTTGGTATGATTTCACAATCACATTAGTGTATATATGATGCCGCTCTAATATTATTATTCCACATCCAACAAAGTTGCGTAGGGTATAATTTTTAAGCCTGTCTGTCTGTTCGTCAGTCCTGTTCTTGTCATCACAACTCCACTGAAACCACACAACAGAATTTCATTACACTTTGTAGATAATAAAAGATACTATGTAGATGTGCAGATTAACAGGAAATTATGATTCATTCTTTTTTAAGGAGTTGTGCCCCTTTGAACTTAGAATTTTGGTCTAAATATACTATTGCAACAGTTTGTCATCGCAACTCTTCTGAAACCCCACAACAGAATCTCATGAAACTTTGTAGATAATAAGGACATACTAAGTAGATATTATTATCAAAAGGAAATTCTGATTCAATTTTTTTCTAGGAATTATTCCCCCTTTGAACTTAGAATTTTGGTCAAAATATACTACTGCACTGTCGTAGCAACTCCTCTGAAACCACACAACAGAATTTCATGAAACTTTGTAGTTAATGAGGACATAATATGTTGCTGTGCATGTCCACAAGAAAATTTTATCGCTTAACTTTTGTAGGAGTTATGAGTCTTTGAACTTAGGAATCTGGTGAAAGTTTGTTTGCCCAGTGACAATGTGGGGGCGTGTGGTATGTCTGGGATGTGAGCGTGCTCACTAAGGTTCTTTAATTTGCAATGTTGAAATAACAGCTTGTATGAATAAAAGAGATGTGGAATATATGCCAATGAGACACATTGTTACAACACAAAAATAACATTCAGAGATCTTTATATGATCTTCAACAGATGTCTATAAAATGTCTAAATCATTAATGTGATTATAAGAGCAAGAAATTTCTTTGAATTGATTTCAACTGTGTCTGTTACTCAAATATTGATGAGGCACTAAAATATAGATCCATTTTGAAACTCTTACCTAAATGTATGTCTATGGTTATTCCTTGTAAGAGAGGGGTTTTAAAAGGAATTTTGCCCAAATTTGAAATAAAAAATATGATTAAAATTGTATTTTAGAATTTGTGACATAAAGCTGTTACAAAAAGCCTATATCCAAGACTGCAATGGACATGACAGTCACAGAGATCTTCATTCAAGAGTCTTAATCTTTAATCTTTACTGTACACTATTAATGGATGAAAATAAGAATTTTGTTTTAAGAAGAAACCATAGGTATTAAAAATACATTATCTGTCTCTATAACACATACCAAACATCTACTTTTATTCTCATTAATAAAAACTCTGAACTGCGGGATGAATTAGAAATCGACCAACATTGTCATGAGGTGCATCTGGTTTATATAAGATTTTTCCTGCATGCAACCAATTTTAACTTTGTTCCTATACTGGAAATAACTATTTAAAGAAATCTAACTATGGTTCCACAAAACTGTCACAGATTTGGTAGATATCATAATGGATCATAATGTCTCTACTTCTACTTTAAATTAACAGTTTACATGTATCTAATATAGTAATATGTGTCTGTCTGTCTGTCCTGCTTCATGTCAGGTGCATTACTTTTGTACCGTACAACTTACGTTAACCTAAATTGGTATGCAGTTGCATCATGGGCTTGGGATGTGTCATATACCAAAGTCAGGTCACACTGACCTTTGACCCCTATGTTAATAAAACCTTGTCTGATTTGTGTTCTGCACATAACTTTTGTACCATAGAACATGGGTAGACCAAACTTTGTATGCTGATACATCATGGGATGGGGGTATATCAAATATCAAAGTCAGGTCACTCTGACCTTGAATTTGACCTTTTACCCCTGTGATAGTAAAACATTGTCTGATTTGTGATTGGTATTTTGTACTGTATCTCTAAGATTGACAAAACTTTGTATGCAGAAACATTATACTGACCTTGCCCTTTAGTTTCTGAATTTTTAGCAAACAAAAATGAGCTTTTGTCATCACTTGGCGTCCCTTGTTGTCTGTTATCTTTTACAAAAATCTTCTCTGAATTCAGCAAGACAACATCTACAAATAAGTCAACATGATCGAAATCGTTGGTAGAAATCTTATTGAAGTCATTGCGCTTTAATGATGATTTTTACTAATTTTTACATTTATGCCTATTATCTTGAAAACTATAATAGATAGATAGAAACTTTAAAAAGCAAAAATGATCAGCAAGGCATGATCTAATAATGAGTCAACATTATCGAAATCTTTAATCGACTCATCATTGAAGTTATTGCTTTTTAATGAAGATTTTTCACATTTTTTGGCATTTTTGCCTATTATCTTGAAAATTATAATAGATAAATAGAACTTTAGATAGCAAAAATGATAAGCAAGACTTATCTACTAATAAGTCAACATGAAAAAAATTGTTAGTCAACTCCTTATCGAAGTTATTGCCCTTTAATGACGATTTTCCCCAAATTTTTTCGGCCTTTCAATGTCGTCTTTGGTGTCCAAAGACATTAGGTTTCCAGACAATAACTTGTATAAATGTATGGATCTCTATGAAATTGTACCACAAGGTTTCTTACCACAAAAGGAAGGTTGGGATTGCTTTTGGTGGTTATTGTCCTAACTGTTTAGGAATTATGGGCCAAAGATCAAAGATCAAAGGATTTTCTGGTTTCCGGACAATAACTTTAGTATAAGTCTATGGATCTCTATGAAGTTGTACCACAAGGTTCAATACCAAAAAGGAAAGGTTAGGATTGATTTTGGGGGTTATGGCTCTAACTGTTTAGGAATAAGGGGCCAAAAGCAATACTTATTAATACCTTGTCTAAATTGCTTAGATTTCTTGACCCATATCAATGGGGTTTTAAATTCAAAGTCTTGAGTTCTTGGGGTTCTTTTATATGCTGAATCTAATCGTGTATTTAGATTTTGGATTTTGGGCCCCGTTTTTAAATTGGTCCATATTGGGGTCTAAAGGGTCCAAAATTAAACTTTGTTTGATTTCATCAAAAATTTAATTATTGAGGTCCTTTGATATGCTGAATTTAATTGTGTATTTAGATTTTTTATAATGGGCCACGTTTTCAAATTGGTCAACATTAAGGTCCAAAGATTTCAAAATTAAGGTCCAAAGGGTCCAAAATTAAACTTTGTTCATATTGTAGATATTTCATTTTTTAACTGAGTTAACCCAAATATCAGTGGTTATACATATACTCATTTAAATGCTTTGGACAATATCATGCAAAGTTTGCAAAATTTATGAAGGTTCTTGGCGCCTCATGTTTTTAGGTTTTACTGTTCATAGATTAAAACTTTTCACTTTAGGGAGTGCTTTATTATCTGAACAAAATTCTGTAGCATA